GTTTTAATCTTTAAATATAAACACTTAAGCTTTTAATATATTTAACGGTATATTTTAACAGAAAAATATTATTTTATTGCGACTTTTACAATTTTAAAAACAACTACTTATTTTACTTTGTTTCTCTTAACTAAATTATTTTACTCTAAAGAATATATTAATATATAATATTTTCTTGATAACAATTTTAAATTGAAAAAGCTCACCACTCAGAAAAGAATTATCTCTTTACAAGAATATTATAAAACTTCATCGAGAAAAAAGTTGGTTTGACGTCCTTATTCAGTCAATAATAGTGCCTGTAAATGTGACTCATAAGCCTTCTGGTTGAGTAAACAAACTGAATTTGAGTAAATGAACTAAATTTGTGTTTTAATTTAATATTCTTTGTTGAAATGTTATATTCACTAAATTTCAGAAAATGTTATTTGAATAAACTTAATTCCTATGTCGAACTTATAATAAGTTTGCTGATATATAAATTTACGAAATACTTAAAACAAGTAACATTTACTAGAATACAGTATATATTTTTCTGTGTGTAGAATATATATGCATATATTTCATGTTGAAAGTTTAAGTATTCGTATTTAAACACCAAAACAATAAGAATATCCTAAATTAGGCACGTGTTCAGGCATTGGCACTTTTACCTCGATATCTCACAAAAACATCCATTTCAACGTAGGGGATGAAAGCTACTGTGAGGAAAGCTAAAGATTTTCATTATAAGTAAAAGTTACTCATGTTTCTACCTTTTTAAGACTGCGTAGTTCATCGACAGGCTAACACTAGCGTGATCAAGTTGTCTAACGAAGAGACGCATTTAATCATCACTTTCTTCTACTTTTCAGGTGGCGTTCACGTGTCGGCGTCTCGAGGCTCGCCGCCAGGTAGCTCCTCAGTGGGTGGCGGTCAGGGCGGAATGGGTTCAAGCTTGAACTGCGGTCAAGGTTCGCCAGGTACAACTTCCGGCAACGGCGGCGGCGGCGGAGGCGGTGGCGGCGGCGGTGTCTCCTGCGTCGGTGCCGACGTGAGCGCGAACGAGGCGTCGGACTGGAGAGGCGCCCACAGCATCGCGGCGCTCAGACGCCGCGCCTCGGACGCTTCGCAACAATACAGTCCACAGCCGCCGCCGCCACCCCCAGGACCACCCCAATATGCCCACGACATGGAGTATAGTTCCGTTTACTGAGGCGTCGGTCCAAATGTCCTAACGTTCAGTTCCACGGAAGAGAAAAAAAGAGAAACTGCCGGCCGGTGGGAGCTTATGGTAATCTCATGGAACGAGTACTCCTCTCTCTCTCTTTCTCTCTATCTATCTATTTCTTTCATTTTCTGTCTCTCTCTTTATCTATCTCTCTCTCTCTCTATATATATATATATATATATATCTCCTTTCTCTTCTCTGTCTATTTCTGTTCCGTGAAAGCATCGTGAGAAGATCGGTCACTGTGCTCTCATGACTGATTCTGCGGAAAAACGAGGATACAGCAAAAGCGTAATTGAGCAACCTGCATAGAAAATTTCTTGGGATCTAACTGAGGTTCAATCCAATCTGATTTCCCGAAATAATTATAGGTATTGGTTAAAATTCTAATGTTTAAAATATGCGATTCTATAGAGGAAGCAAAGTTTTCCCAATATCTTTTCCGGTCTTCATTTAATGCTAGAATCAAATAAAACAAGCTGACTTTCTAAATAATTTAATTATTCAGTAAAATGCTCAATGTTTTAAACATATTTTATTTTTTGATATTTTATTCTATCGTATACAATAGTTGATATAAAAGTTCCCTGTTTTATAAAAGTATACTGACATTATTGATTGAAAAAAAAAAAAAACATGAGTTCCCATAGTATTTCTGATTCGATTTTAGACAGAGAACACATATTTGGGACAATAGGATTCCCTAATTGGTATTATAATAGTATCATAGTGATATTGTAACTAATTTTGGGATAAATTTGGGCATTCTGATCAGTATCTAAGCTGCATCTATGATGATTTTGAGAAATTTCTATGCGGGAAGCTGATCTAGCTGGTCTATCGTGAGTATAATCGTAAAGATAGTGCAACAGAGATCGATGGAATATCGTAATGATCATTTCGAATGATTCGACTAGCGGAGGTCCAAATTCGCTCAGCGGAATAAGAATCTAACACGAAGCCGGCGAAGCGCGGTAAATAATGACGGAATTAGAATGGTTAGATAATTCCGGGTGGACGTATGTATATGTATATGTGTGCGTGTGGGCGTACATGTAAGTGTGCGTGTGTGTACGAGTGTCTCAACTGGCAGAGATTCACAGCTAGTCGGCAAGAATACATAATAGCTTAACGATTGCGGGAACTCAACGTGACGCCTGAATTTCTATATTCTTGAAGTAATGCGAGCTCGTCGTAATGTAGAATTCCGCCAGAAGAAACAGAGGTGCAAGAGTAACGCGAAGAACCTACAAAAGGAGTACTCTTCTATAAGTTAGTTGCGCAGTTGAAGTCAGGGTAGAGGATCGAAATTGCTGGCAGCATCGACAGCGACAATTCGCGTACAATACAGATTCTCGTCATAGAGCCTTCCCGGGGACTGTCGTCGTAATACATTAGATAGGCCTTTATTCCGAACTCTCTTTTATCGATAAAAAAGAATTTGGAATAATGACTGTAGTCTACAGCAGGGTTGTATCGTAAGTTTCAACATCACGTCTACGCGAATTGTTTACGTATTGCCTACGTGATGTATACACAGTCTTTTCTCATGTAGACAATGTAAACTACGTAGGATATTTTGTAAATTATATTAAAATATACAAGATTACAGAACAATTTTACAGACAAGATTACAGCATTATAAAATAGTTGCAGCATCTATGTTTATATATATATGTATATTGGAAATACTCAGACTCATAATAACTGCAGTGGATTTACGGTGTCAAAGAACGCACTTGATATTGTAATGAAACTTATCGTATGGAGAAAAGATCTGTTGTCAAGTAACGTTATTGAAATTGTCGTGATAAAGATAAATTTTTGGATATATTTGAGCGAAACTCGTTTTCGTTTAATAGAATAATTTTTTAATCGTGGCAGTTCTATCGGAGAGAAGGAAACTATTTTTGTTTAATTTTTTATGAACCATCTGAATGGAGAAATACCAAGGATGCCGATGATATATATATATATATATATATATATATAAACATATCTAATGACATTTTTGCTACCAAAGTTACCAGTCATGTCACATAATAAAATGAAAATTTCATGCAATTTGTTATCTTTTTTAAACATTGCATTTATATATATGTATATATATATATATATATATATATATATATATATATGGCATTAATTATATATAAATGCAATGTTTAAAAAAGATAACAATTGCATGAAATTTTTATTTTATTATGTGACATAACTGGTAATTCTGGTAGCAAAAATGTTACCAAAGAATTTTATGGACCATCATTTGTTTGGGATACAACGTTCATAAGTTCATAAGTTTACATAAAATATAAATTTTTTTAAATTAATTCGTGAACAAGCCATACATTTTTTAAACAACATCCATAGATTATTCATTGTCTACATAGATGAAATCTCACACAGAATAATGGTTAGTCAGTTTACTTTCCTCCTGTTAAATAATGATTATCTTCAACAAAGAATATTTTTTTTATAACAATCTTAAAATATATTTATCAGAAATTCTAGGAGAACTCATTACCTTATACTCAAAAGAAAAATTTAATTCTCATTATAACAATATTATAATACTTTATAATACTATAAGTATTATAACAATATCATATTATAATACTTTACCGAGTAAGACATTCGAACTTTCTTCTAAACTCTCTTTTATCAATAAAAATGTCTCCAAACGTGACATATAAGCCTTTTAATTAATTTATAAGCACATTTAGAAATACTTTTAATCAATAGAAGAAAAATCAAAGTGAGGAAAAATGTAGTGAGCAAATAGAACTTTTATTTTAATTTAACAATCTTGATTGAAAAAGTCACACTCATATACAGGGTGTCCGGTAACTGGTCGAGCAACCGCTATATACGGGTTAAAATAATCATAAACGAGTCAAAATAATCATAAAAGTTACATACCATTTTGAAATGTTCTCAATATTTATTCCGTAATTAATTAAAATGTATAAACGAATGAGCTCACGAGAAACGGTAGGACAGGCTCTGTGTGTAAAAGAAATGGCTTACCTCTTAGCAACGATGAGTAAACAGCTGATTTCGAGGCGGAGTAACAAGCGACACGTATACGTTACTCCGCCTCGAAATCAGCTGTTTACTCATCGTTGCTAAGAGGTAAGCCATTTCTTTTACACACAGAGCCTGTCCTACCGTTTCTCGTGAGCTCATTCGTTTATACATTTTAATTAATTACATTTTAATTAATTACATTTTAATTAATACATTTTAATTACGGAATAAATACTGAGAAAATTTCAAAATGGTATGTAACTTTTATGATTATTTTGACTCGTTTATGATTATTTTGACCCGTACACGGTGGTTGCTCAATCAGTTACCGGACACCCTGTATAGCTTACGTTGTCTACATGTAGACGTAAAATATCATAATTTAGGCGTAAACATTCAACCCTGATCTACAGTTTCTCAACGATTTAATATTAGACTAATTATTGACTCGATATTGTAAATGGAATGGAGGACAGTAGTTGGAATTGTCGTACACGAACGATGGAATTGTCGTAACGTTTAAAATCAAAATTTCTTAATTGATAACGTAACGAGTAAAAATTCACCTGACACGTAATAATCTAGTCAAATACCTCTCGAATCTGGAATCTCGAATCTGAAACAATCAGGAATGTTAGTTAATATTTCATACAGTAAACTAAATCGTCAGCGTGAAACTTTCAATTGGTGCATCATCGGCATCCTTGGCATTTCTCCATTCAGATAGTTCATGGAAAGTTAAACGGTTTCCTCCTCTTCGATAGAACCGCCACGACTAACGAAAAATTATTCTATGAAATGGAAACGAGTTTCGCTCAAATATATCCAAAAATTGATCTTCATCGCGACAACTTCAATAACGCTATTTGACAACCGCGATGACGGATCTTTTCTCCATACGACAGATTTCAATATAATATCAAGCGCGTTCTTTGACACTGTAAATCCATTGCAGTTATTATGAGTCTGAGTATTTCCAATGAGTTTGAATGTCAATGACTAAATTATGACTTTCTCAGCGATATTGGAGATATACGTTCACCGGTGAGAGATTGAATACGCTGTCTTAGTAATCGCGCTGCTGAGGTGTCGATGACGGGAAGAGGAAAATAGTCCGCGATCTATGCAGATTTGTGATTCTCGTGAAGCGAAGAGTATCATGATACGTCCTGAAAAGAGGAAAGATTGCTGTAAACAAATGTGACCAGCTTTACGAACGGACTTTCCTTGGGATGGCGCTGTGCGCTGATAAAAACAGAAGAAAAAAATGTCGGCGTGGCTACTTCATATATGCATATATTGATATGATCACCGAGTGCCCGTCGAACGATTTGATCAACTCCACGTGCTCGCGCGTGTCGACTTATTTTTCTTCGAATGACTAACGTATCTCGATATTCGTACCGAGCGGCGCGATTCGTCATGGCCATAGCTATTTAGAATAGACTGCGCATTGCTGTAGGAATGAAGTTAGAATTAGTAAGAGAGGGCAATATAGAGAATAAGATGATTCCCTTGTCTAAATATTTAGTTGGCGAGAAGAACAAAGGAGAAGAAGGAGAAAAATTATTCTATGAAATGGAAACTAGTTTCGCTCAAATATATCCAAAAATTGATTTTCATCGCGACAACTTCAATAATGCTGTTTGACAACCGCGATAACGGATCTTAACAAAGGAGATCATCGTATGATCTCTTTCCTTCATTAGATAGAGAAAAGGGATCTTTGAATTTATTCTTATTTGTTTGACTTTGATTTGTTTGGTCCAACGATGCAATTACAATCTTATGTCAATTTTATTTTATAAAATATTATTTTATCAAATATTATTTTATTTTATTAGATTAAACCATTATTTGTTAAAAAAACACTATTACACTATTACAATATTATTATAAAAAATATTTTGTATTTGTATTAAAATTCATCCGTGTAGAAACTTTTAGGTCAAAATTTTAACATATTTGTGTATTATTGAGAAATATGTTGTATAAATTGAGAAATATGTTAAATTTAACAGATTTTTTACAGTGTAAAGAAAATTTTTAATAAAATAATATATTATTTGATTATATTTAAAGTTTTGTTTCGTTGGAATAAATTATGTTATTTCATTGTAAAGTAAACTATTGTTTCAAATGTTTAGTCTTTCAATCTAATCTATTATTTGTATTAACTAATATAATATGTGGTTAAAAATCGACGAACAATTATGTTGTCATTGACTTTCTGATGTATATTCTGTCAATATTTATTACATATCGACTATTGTTGCATTGTGTCCAACGATTATCAGGAAATATGGCATGCAGAAACTTTTTTCAACACTATAAAGATGTGTATCCGATGAAGTAATAAAAAGAGACCGTCAACAATATGAAAAAAGAAGAAATGCCCAATTTTTTAAGATTGCTTAAATGAAATTATTGAATTTTTTAGTAAAGTGAGGAAATTAAAATAATTTTCTTCTTTGAGCCAAACAATAAATAATAATAAATCATTTGAACTGAAATATAAAGTAATACGAAAACGATCGTACTTATTGATTGAAACATTAGTTTCTTTGGGCCATTTTAATGATTAAATACATGTTTTGATACAATAAAATTTAGTAACACGTTCGCTACCAGCGTCAGTTACAAAATTTTCAAGTTTACTTAACATATTGGTATCGAAGTCATATGTGTATGATAACGACATTTTTCTTTCTATATCCGTAAACCAACTGGTTATAAATAAACTCTGTTTCACACAATTACATAAAAACCCGTAAACAAAGGCAGTTTGTGGAGAGAATCCCCCAAATGAGCTATAATAGCGAACGTGTTAAATCCAAAGAAATCTTTTTCTTTCAGTACGTCTCATTCTCCTTTCAGTTTCTTCTACATCGCCTTCTCCTAGAGAACACTGTATAACAGAAATGCATTTAACTTATAACAACACATTTCTGTCTTTCGGTCTTATCATCAGCCGTCCCGTAAGAGTGCGCAGTCTATTCTGCAAGTCTATGGTCGCGACTAAAACACAGTCATTAAACTCCGCTCGTTCCGCCCTTGTTAGAGGCGTCTCGGGTGTCTACGCTGGCGCTAAAGAAACGTCGATGAGATTAAGGCCTCGCTAATTGTAAATTATTTAACCGCATTCCGAGGAGTGACTATGTGACAAACTGATTAGGGCGTGGATTTCCGCCACGTGATCTTCATTTACACTTGTTTCCTCTCAAGCGAGCGCCCCGAGCCGTGCCGAGATCAAAGCGGAAGTCGTGGCGAGGTGCAACCCAGATGTATACGACAAGTTATCTTAGTATTATACATATAGTATATATATATATAAATATATACATACGGCATTGTAAATATAGTAAAAATATTGACGTGATAGGGTATTATTATTATGGATTATCATTGCAATCACCGTTACTCGAGTCGCGTAAGCGCGACGGAGCCGTCGGTTGCTTTTCGTTCACAGGCTACTCGGCTTGCAATTCGCATCGCAAATGGCGTTTAACGAGGCTGCACGCGCAGGTAGTTGTTTGCTTCGGAAACGATATTTTTTTATGGACTACTTCGACGTTCGTCGTTATAATTTCGATCGAAATAACGGCGTCCTGAGTTTGCGCGAGTACACAACTTCCGAGGGCCTTCACGAATCACGGCGGCAGAATCCTTGTATCGCGTGTGTTCGTCAACGTTATAAAACTACCAGAGACTTTCGCCGTTTCGGAGGTACAGCTATTTTACCTCGTGTATGTGTGTGTGTGTGTGTATGTGTGTGTGTGTGCGTGTGCGCGCGTGTGTGTACGACGAGAGATTAGAATTACTTCCTAAGCTGCTAGGGCAAACGCTGATCTTCCTTGCAATATGCACCGTCAATTAGAAGGAACTCCTACAAAAAAATACGTCGGACCTGCGACTTCAAACAAGTTGTGCACAACTGAAAATTGTCGTTCCTATTCTGTCCTAATATTAGA